CATGTCCACCATGTTGCGTCGACATCTACGCCAGAGCTTCACGCCAGGACATGCAGGATGCGAATCGACAGTCGAGCGGACAATGTCCATTTCGGATGATACTCTAGTCGATGCAGACCTGGTTTTTAAAATTTAGAGCAACATACGTCCTCACACATATGTCCTTTATCGTCACAGTCGTATACCACGGTGCCGTGACTGCGGCGCGTTTTGAAAATTTCAAAAGCAGATCGTGCACAGAAGTCACTAATTGATAACGTACAAACATACGTGCAACTACACTTTCTACTGTAGCTGGGGCTTCGCTGCTGTGTTAAAAGACGGGTCTGCTCGTAAATTGGATATCTGTCGAAGCGTATAACATCCGATTGCATTGCGAATACTGGGCCACTGCACCCCCTTAAGTTTGAGAACCATCCAGCACTTTGTGGGCATACTCATCTACGAGGATAGCAATGGTGTGCGCTGACCGTCGAGCCGTAAAATATTCTTTTGCCCTCTGAATTGTGCGTGAAGGACTATAGAATTGATGTAAATTAATTGAGAATATAGGCGAGCGAGAGCCGCTGAAGCGTGGGTCGATGCGAATGTGTCAAGAGGCCCATTTTTTGGACAAAATAGCGTTCGCGTCGCTTGGCCTGGATGACGATGCGCTTCTGGCCGTACTTGAGCTTGAGCTTGGCGAGCACCTCCTCTCGGTGGTTCTCATAGTAGACGCGAGCGCGCTCACGGGCCATAGCACGCTGCGCCATTGACGGAGCGCGTCGCTTCCGCTTCGTGCACTCTTGCATCTTTTGTGTAAAAACTTGAGTGACGTCGAGCGAAAAAGCTTTGGCGCACATGGTGTCTTCACACACCAGCCAAGTCCCAAGAGTCTAACGCGTTCACGCGGTGCCAGATACTGTGGAACGCAGCTACGGTAGAAAGTGTAGTTGCACGTATGTTTGTACGTTATCAATTAGTGACTTCTGTGCACGATCTGCTTTTGAAATTTTCAAAACGCGCCGCAGTCACGGCACCGTGGTATACGACTGTGACGATAAAGGACATATGTGTGAGGACGTATGTTGCTCTAAATTTTAAAAACCAGGTCTGCATCGACTAGAGTATCATCCGAAATGGACATTGTCCGCTCGACTGTCGATTCGCATCCTGCATGTCCTGGCGTGAAGCTCTGGCGTAGATGTCGACGCAACATGGTGGACATGTTGAGGATTTGTGTGTGTGGAGCGTGAACGTTGCAATGCATCGCCGTCTCACTGCTGTTGTTGCTATGGAGGAAGAACGAGCTAGACAACGCCGTCTCTTCCTAGAGACCAACACCGAGTGCTGTTGCACGAGGAACCCTTGTGCAGCTCGGCGTTGGACGGGACACAGGTCCACGGTGCAGAAAACGAGCGAGCCAGTACCGACGTGATCATCGCGGCGTCTGAGTCAGACAACGCTGGCATTAGAAGGGCAATACCACGGTCCAGCAGCCACGACAAGGTAGCAAGCTGGTGGGCTCGGCACTCACTTTTCCTTTTTCCTCATCGGGTGTGGGCAGCAGCATGAGCACTGCCAAGGAGTTTATTTCTGCCGAGCGCGTCTCGTACTTGCACTCGGTCGACAAGGTGACTGCGGACCACGCTGACGACTACGAAGCCACCAAGACGCCCGGCGACCTCGAAGACGGTGCGCTCCGTGTCGGCGGTGCCCCGGTGTACACGTCGGCCGAGTGTCTCTCCATTCTTTTCCAGTATGCAATGATCGGTATCGTCTACGGCGGCGTCAGTGGCATGCGCTACGCCGTCGTGAACGGCTACTATGCTCTCGAGACGAACGTGGCCAACTCGGCCAAGGCGCTTTTGACGCTCGGCTGGTCGCTCAAGGTCGTCTTTGGTGTCCTCAACGACTGCTTCCCGATCTTTGGTTACCACCGCAAGCCGTACATGGTCCTCGGCTGGTTTCTCTGCGGCGCCGTCCTCCTCTTCATTGCGATCCGCGACAACGGGGAGCAGGGCTCGCAGACCGACGGGCCAGTCTTTATCCTCCTCGCGACCATTGCGTGTTTTTGCTACGTTATGGCCGACGTCGCCCAGGATGCGCTCATGCTGGCGGTCGCCCAGCGTGAGCCCGAAGCCGTCCGCGGTCGCCTCCAGTCGCTCTCGTACGCGACGCGCCAGATCTTTTTGGGTCTCATCCAGTTTGTGTCGGGCATCTGCCTCAACTCGGATCGCTTTGCCGGCGACTTTGACTGGGACATTGGCATCAACGGGTACTTTTGGATTCTGGCAATTCCGTCGTGCTTGAACGTGCTCGTGTGCTACTTCTTCGTCAAGGACGAGAAACACAGCCGCGTCGACGTTGGCTCGTACTTTGGCAAGTTCTGGGACCTCGCTCAGAAGCGCGCCGTGTGGCAGGTCCTCCTCTTCAACTTCCTCTTTGGCTTGTTCCAGGCGATCACGTCGACGGCCGGTGACTACGTCGCCTTGTACTGGGCCAAGGTCGAGAACCTCAACCAGCAGATTGTCGGTGTCGTGACCCAGCTCCTCTTTGCGGCCGTCATCACGGCGACGGGCACCTATGGCACGCACTGGAACTGGCGCTACGTGCTCGTCATCACGATCCTCGTCACCGTCTCGATTGACGCCGTGGTCCAGTTCTGCACGATCTTCGCTGTCCTTCGCAGCCAGTGGTTCTACCTCGGCGTGCCGCTCATGGAAACGATTCCGGTCGGTATCAACTTTATCGTTGGCACGTACGTCATTGTCGAGCTCGCCGAGGTCGGCAACGAAGGCGTCATGTACGGTCTCCTCACGACGATCTCGAACCTCCCGAGCACCTTTGGCACGATCATCACCAACGTCGTCGACAGCCAGCTCAACTACAGCAAGAAGCTCATCTTCGACGATGCGCCCGAGACGCGGACGGCCGTCGCGTACTCGTACATCATTTCGTACTCGTGCATGGTGCTCGGCTGCCTCTGGGTGTTCCTCCTCCCGCCGCAGCGCGCCGCCGTCGCCGAGCTCAAGAAGAACGGCGGCAGCCACCCCAAGGTGGCCGCGCTCATCTTTGTCACGCTCTTTGTCGTGCTCGTCACGTCCATCACGGGCAGCTTGATGTCCATGTTCCCGAGCACGAGCTGCTTCCTTCTCGCGGGCGGCAAGGTGCCGTGCCCGGAAGGCACGCCGCACACGTACCTCGCCATCATCTTCGTGCCCGGTGCCATCGTCGCACTCTTTGCCGCGTACAAGCTCTTCATCGCCAAGAAGTAGTCGGGTGTCCTACCTCCGGTTGTGTCGTTCAACTGACAAGTCGAACCAAAGTGTCGTGTTATCCATACGTTTGTTTTTGGATGAACCTACGATTTGATTTGGCAGCCTCGCCCCGATGTGCAGCCAAGTAGAAATGCTGCGCACGGGGCTGTGTTCATTCAGCAATTCTCGAGCTCCAGCACTAACTACAGTGGTGGACGTTCGCACCTTGGACAGAGCATTTCCAGGCTACCAGACCCTCGGCTTCTGACACGCTGCAAACGCATGCAACACTGTTTCAAGCTCGCATCTGTAGCATCGTCCAAGGTCTATCGATACTCGCGTGTATGCCGCCTCGTAGCGTGTGATTTCCAGCGCAAGAGTGTGCACCTCGACAAGGCCGATGAAATTGGTATTGTTGTTGAGCCGACATCGTGTACCTCAGATCGCCCGCTTGTTTCCGTGCGCGTAGCTTAAGTCTGGTCGTAGCATGACGTGTCAAATTCTCTATGGTACACTGTTCATTGACGACTTATTGCAACATCCCAAGCCAATGTCAAGGCAGAAGGAAACGAGATACTTCTGCATGTTGTCACGGTCTCGTAATTGTGTCGTCGATGAGGGACTCGAGCTCGCGAGATCCCTTTTTAGCGTAATCGTGATGTGCACAATGGCCTTTTCCGTCGTCGGGCAGTCGACCCTGCACTAATTATGCGGACGTACCGCGTACCAGAATGGGATTCTACGTGGCAAATAAAAACTGCCCTTGATTCGCTTAGGTCACTGCGACATGGCGCCAACCAGCCGGAGACCGCGCGTGGAAGACTATATGCGCATTTGACGATTGGCATGGAGGGTATTAGGCCGTGTCTGCTCAAGACGCGCACCCGGAGTCCGCTCTCACCCGCGCAACTCGAGAAGAACCGGCAGCGTGCCCGCACGTACTATGTCCGGCACAAGGCGGTCGTCCTCGCAAAGCTCAAGACACGCTACCTCCAGAAGCGGGAGATCATCCAGGCCAAGCGACGAGCGCTCTACCAGCGAAAAACTGCGAGTAGCCGTCGACCAAATGCTGTTAAGTCGTCGACAGTCCCGGTGACCGTAAACCGCCTCGCACTGCACTATATTCTTAATTAACGTCTTCTCTTGTACACTGACGCTGCGTCGACTGAAGCGAGCGCGTCCACGTACAAACACGTTTAAAAGACAGGACGTGGGTAAAACGCCATCCCTACGTCATTGGGGCTAACGAGATCATCGAGCGAGGCAGGAAGGTTTGCTTCTGCGCTTGATTACGCTAGTAGTCGCGTGAAACAACGACCCTTCTCGGCCCGCGAGTGGCAACGCTACTAGTACACTGTAATCAAAAGACACGCAAAACCACATGTACCGTACTATAGTCATTTCAAGATGGCCGCTGGATACTAAGGCTCATAGAAAATGTGGGGTGGTATTTCTATAGCGACAAAAAGATATGCTGCCCCATAGACAGGACAGTCAGTGCCTACGTTAGGTTGCATTTGCATCATCCAGTCCGGCGTTCGAATTGGAAACTAGGATGTTCATCGCAGTTCTCGGAGCGTGAGAAGGAGTATGGAGGACGTCTTTTCATGGACCTGTCTCTAAATTTTAGGAACAGGTCCACGCATTACTCAAAAGGTGAAGATTGTCTCGACACCACAATTGGCTGCCACTTGTGGTATCGTGGTGCTGCAATCCATTTTATCACAACGCGGTGCTCACGTCGTTGGGTGTATCGTGAAGCGCTTGACTGTGTGAGGGACTTGTGCTGAGGCCATTGCGTTCTTCTGGACGATAGGAATTACCGTTCTTGTACGTAGGTCTTCACGAGAAGCCCGTCGTCAGGGAGTCTCCGGAGAAAAACCTGTTTTACCTCAGATTCTACCCCGAGTGGGAAGCCGTTGCGCAGCACGACTCAGATGCGTCGGCACGAACGCCTACCTTTTTGCGTTTTTAAGTTTGCGCATGCCAGGTGCATCCAACGTATTTAATACAAACACCAAGATGAAATTTTCGACGCCAAAGTCGAATCCCAAATGCGCGCACCTTCCACACGCGAGTCCACCAGATGCCCGTGGACGTTCCCTAGAACACTCCAGTCGGATGCTGCGACGTTGCTACCCTTCTGATAACGGATTACAAAGATCGCTCGGAGAGTACTACGAAGGGGGAAGCGAGGCAGCTCGGCGCCAAAGCAGCGAAAGAAAACCAGCGACTTGCACACAATATAGTCATTCTGCAATTTACCAGCTCTCAGCATGGACCGCACCAGCAATGCGCTCATGGAGCGCGTCTCGTACGTCCACTCGGTCGACAAGGCCGCCAAGCCGGGTGACCCGGAGTACGATGACATGAAAACGCCCGGTGAGATGGAAGGCGGCGCGCTCCGCGAAGGCGACGCCCCGGTGTACACATCACCCGAGATCCTCGCCATCCTCTACCAGTACGCGATGATCGGTATCGTCTACGGTGGCGTCCCTGCCACGAAGTTTCCCATCCTCGCCTCCTACTTTCAGCTCGAAACCAACGTCTTGAGCTCCGCCTCGGCACTCATGACGCTCGGCTGGACCATCAAGGTCTTCTTTGGCATGTTCAACGACTGCTTCCCGATCTTTGGCTACTCGCGCAAGCCGTACATGTTCATTGGCTGGACGTTGTGTGCTGCGATTCTTGTCTACATTGCGTGCAAGCCGGCGGGCGAGCCGGGTTCGAGCTCGGATGGGTCGCAGCTCGCGCTACTCTGCACGATTGTGGGCTTTTGCTACGTCATGGCCGACGTCGCGCAGGACGGTCTCATGTTGACGTACGCGCAGCGCGAGCCGCTCGCGATCCGCGGCCGCTTGCAGTCGATGATTTACGCCACGCGCTCGGTCTTTATGGCCATCATCTATCTCATCTGCGGTCTCTGCCTCAACTCGAAGGAGTTTTCCGGTGACTTTGACTGGGACATTGGCATCAACGGATACTTTTGGATCCTCGCGGTGCCATCGATCATCAACGTGCCGGTGATTTGGTTCTTTGTCAAGGACACGAAGCGCGAGCGGGTGCCCGTGGGCATTTACTTTGCCAACTTTTGGGAGCTCGTCCAACACCGCGCCGTGTGGCAAGTGCTCTGCTTCAACTTTCTCTTTTCGCTCTTCACGGGCAACATCACGTCGACAGCGACGTACTACGTGTCGCTCAACTGGGCCAAGGTCGAGAACCTCAACAACCAAATCATGGGCGTCGTCGGTCAACTCATCTTTGCCGTTGTCTTGGTCCTCACGGGCACCTACGGCACGCACTGGAACTGGCGCTACGTGCTCGTCAGCACCATTCTCACGGCCAACATCATCGACTCGGTTTGCCAGTTTTTGACCGTCTACGATATCGTCCGCAACCAGTGGTTCTATCTTGGCGTGCCGATCATGGAGAACATTCCCATTGGCATCAACTTTGTCATTGGCACGTACGTCATTGTCGAGCTCGCCGAGGTCGGCAACGAAGGTGTCATGTACGGGCTCTTGACGACCGTCACCAACCTCCCGGGTACATTTGGCACGATGATCACCAACTTGATTGACGGCTCTCTCGACTACAACAAGACGCTCATCAAGGCTGACTCGGACGAGACGCGCAACCAAGTCGCGTACTCGTACATTATCTCGTATTGCTTTGCCGTCGTTGGCTGCTGCTGGGTTGTCTTGCTTCCACCGCAAAAGGCCGCTGTCGCCGAGCTCAAGAAGAACGGCGGCCGCCAGCCCATCGTTGCCGGCTGCCTCTTTTACTTCTTCTTTGTCGTCTTTTGCTGCTCGATCACGGGCACACTCATGTCCATGTACGACGAAACGAGCTGCGCGCGCCTCGCCGGTGGTACGGGTTGCCCGCCAGAAAACTCCAAGAACTATCTCCTCGGCATCTTTGTGCCGAGTGGCGTCGCACTCCTTGCGATTCTCTTCAAGGTGTTTCTCCACAAGTAGATAGTGGACTTGAGCCAACATATATCTATCCTAAATGTGGTGTGTGCCGTTTTTATCAACGTTATGGCGTCGGCGACGATGTGAGCGATAGAAATGCATGTTCCACGATGCCAGGGTCCACGGGTGCCCTATACTAGTATATATCAACGTGTTTCGCGTTATCTTCCTTAAAAAGAGTTCGCATACGTAGTGCTACGCCTGAATGCGTGGGAGTTGGCACCAGCACTTGGTCGTTGGGAGTGAGCTGCGCACGGAGAGATCCATCCCGTGGTGGACCCCACGGGTGCCCTACAATTTTTTATCGTCATCGACTGCGTTGAAGCTACGTTGCATCCAGAGTTGAGATCGCGTGGCTGCAGAGGTTCGTCATCGCGAGTCGCGACACTCAACCTCTCGACCCATCAAACCTTACCCTACCCTAGCCCTTGTCGAAGGAGCCGGTCGATGTGTGAGTACTGGTCACGTGTTTTTAAGTTT